CCCTCTGTGAACAGACAGAAGCAGGAGACACTCCTGTGCTGAAAGCCAAGCAGTGCCAATGTCTCCACACTAGAGGAGACTGGCATGGGGCTGTGGTGACTTGGAGACAAGAATGTTTCTTTAGACTTGTCACTTTGAAGTGTGCCCACTTGTGCTGGAAGGCAGCAGCCCTATGTGAGCCAGAGGCACCCTGAAGCCATGTCGGGGGGGGGGGGGGGGGCTGTTGCGTCACTGTGCAATCGCAATTAACTTTAATTACATGTCTCCACTGGCTGCCAGGTTTGGAAAAATTACAAGGAGGTGAAAAAAAAAGAAAAGGCAGAAAAGAGGCTCTTGCAATCCAGGTGAATTTTTCCAAGCTGATTGCCAACACTCAAGATTCCCAAGGGCCTTTGTTAGTAGAGACAAAGCACCAGACAAAGAGATGGAGGAAGGAGGAAGACTCTTCTCCTTCTCTTTTAAAATAACCTAGCTAGCATTCAAAATCTGGGACATTCATACGTGTGCCCTCTAAGTATCTCTAACTGAAGGGGGCCATCACAGTTCAACATTTCTCTGCTTCCCTGATGTGAAGCATGTGTGACAAAGCTCTGACAGCACGTGACCAACTCCATCGACACAGGAATATTTAGGGACTGAATTTTCTTACTGTTAATCAGGATTCATAAACTGCATCCAGACAGGTGCTTCTAAGTCATCACCTTCTTGTCCTTATCTGTCAGGAAAAATACTACAATCAGTGAGATGAGTATCCAGCACAAAAGGCACCAACTGGTGAAGAACAATGGCAGTGCCATGAAATCTTGCCCCTTTCAGTTGTGCATCTCTTGTAGTTATCCACAAGAAGGAAATTAACTGAGTCTTAGAATCAATATGCGTATTTCAACCCTTTATTCACTTACAAATGATTTTTGACACTGCTTCAAGCCTGGATTTGCTCTCTAGAGACCTAAGCAATATATTTTTAACATGGCTACAGAAATTTTTTATTTGAATGTGCACTGATGGCATTTCCCCAGTTGGGAATCCTGTGGGAGTTGAATAGACTACTTTAGAGGGTACTGTAAGCAATAGTAAATGATTAGATGAGAAAATGAACATGAGGAGGCAGTGTGTGCTTGCAGCCCAGAAAGCCAATCGTATCCTGGGCTGCATCAAAAGGAGCGTGACCAGGAGGTTGAAGGAGGTGATCCTGCCCCTTTACTCTGCTCTTGTGAGACCTCATCTGGAGTATTGTGTGCAGTTCTGGTGTCCTCAACATAAAAAGGACATGGAACTGTTGGAACAAGACCAGAGGAGGCCACGAGGATGATCAGGGGAATGGAGCACTTCCCGTAGGAAGATAGGCTGAGGAAGTTGGGGCTGTTCAGCCTGGAGAAGGCTGCGTGGAGACCTCATAGCAGCCTTTCAATATCTAAAGAGGGCCTATAGGGATGCTGGGGAGGGACTCTTCATTAGAGACTGTAGTGATAGGACAAGGGGTAACGGGTTAAAGCTTAAACAGGGGAAGTTTAGATTGGATATAAGGAGGAAATTCTTTCCTGTTAGGGTAATGAGGCACTGGAATGGGTTGCCCAGGGAAGTTGTGAATGCTCCATCCCTGGCAGTGTTCAAGACCAAGTTGGACGAGGCCTTGGGTGAGATGGTTTAGTGTGAAGTGTCCCTGCCCATGGCAGGGGGGTTGGAACTAGATGATCTTAGGTCCTTTCCAGCCCTAACTATTCTATGATTCTATGATTCTATAATTAGAAGAGGAACAACAGAAGTTGTATAGTGATCTTCTAGATTCAGAGGTATTTTAATATATTTTTAATAACAAAGTTAGGAAATTCTTCAAACTACCCCATGCATTAAGGTAAATGTATGTGTTTCATTATTCTCATGCTACAAAAAGGAAATCCATGACAGAGAGATGAGTGGCAATGGATTCACCATACCTGCTCTTACACAGTGTTTCAAAATTTCAGAGGCCTTGGGTTAAGACAGCAGGGTCAGATTTGGCCATCTGTGGTTGACTGTCTCAGGCTACTCAATGCTGGCACATACGGCACTTTAAGTCATGTGCAGATCAAGTATTTAACAGTAAATTTGTCTGCAAGACGACAGACTTTATCCACTGAAACAGGCAGAGAATGCAGATGGGATGAATCTTGGTTGAGTATGTGAGATGCTAATTAATATGTAAATTCCAAGCCCATGGTAATCCAGAAACTTTGTCCTAACTTCAGGCTAAGTCTAAAGGCATAAAAGGCATAAACCTGCTCAGGTTCCCGCAGTGAAGAAGTGGTAGTTATAGAGGCAAGTCAGAGCTCCCTTTGTCCAATCTTCTTTCTAATACTAGAACTTGTTGGTGCATTGAGTTTGGAAAAAATATTTTGAACTCACAATTGACTCCTTAATGCAAGGGGGAAACAAGCATTCTCCTGGCCCATCTTTGGAAAGGACATAAGAAGATGAGAATTCATTTCCTTTCCAGAGAGATATCAGTATCCATCTTATCTTCTGAAGAAATTTCACGCAAAAGACTATTGATTTTTTAAATTGAACTGATTCAGTCATTTCCAGTGTTGCATGACTAGATTGGATCTCAGCTCAAATGCACAGAGACTGCAACAGGTATTTAGCAGTCACACCACTTCAAGGATCACAGCAGCTGGGTGAAGCAGGACATACTACACAGCTGCCTAATCCACACAGGCTCTATGCCAGCAGACATCAAAGAAGGCCAACTAAGGGTGCCTCTTTCTATCCACTCTCAGGGATCTGAAGATGGCAGGGACATTATCTCATCTGGAGGGACACAATTCATTGGAATTTGCAGCAATACAAGACCAAGCCAAGCCCACCAGTGACCTGCATTTAATAGGCTGTTAGTATTCTGAATTGAGTAAATAACAAAGTTTACTGTTAGTTTGCACCACAGGAAAATCTGTCTTCCAAGTTACTCCTTCATATTGCAATATGTTCTGTTAGATTAGAAATAAAAACGGAGTACAGAAATTACTTCAGAAACTATCAGGCCAGAACCTCAGAGCCTGTCAGGTGAGGTACTTCTGATGCAGCTCTTCATTTTTACACTTTATTAGTAGATCATTCTGCTTTCCACACCAGCAGCATGTGATAGAACAGTAAATTAATAAGCTGTCTTAGTGTGAGGATCTTGATGACTGATATTTCACTGCCATTTTACATTTTCAGTGCCATGGTGCAGTGCAGTAGGCATCTTGTCTTATTCCACTTCAGTGCTGTTCAGATGACTAAGTTTTCTGTTAAAACAGCAAGAAGAGAGAACACTTGTTGAGAAAATACTGCAGAACACTCCTGATATTTGCCCCAGGAACCGTATTCAAGTTTTTCTGTACCTTAAATCAGAAGAGCTATGTCCTAGGAGTTGTGTGTCTACTCCATATTAACCAGCAACAACTCTTCAGTACTTGAAGAGAGCTGCTGTTGACCAACCTCTAACCAAAGAGCTAGTCACGGAGCTTCCTCAGTGAGAAATCACAAACTAGAAATACACTAGGAAAAAGAAATAAAACAAAACAAAACCTTGCTTCTCATAAGGTTATACTTGTGGGTTTGAATTTTCATTTTATTTTGGCTTCAGATTCAGGGTTGGGGGCTGTTATATGTCAGTTTTTCTTGTTATTGTGCTTTATTCTCTCCCATGATTCATCTAACTCTAGGGCATTTATTGAAATTCTTGATACAAAATTCGAGGGAAGTGAATCTCCCTTTAAGCTTCATAGGGACAGCTCATAGCCTGATTAAAGTCTCTTGCAGTTTTCATCAGCTGAGGATGTGTTTTTCACATTACAGACTAACAGACTAGGTGCATTCCTAGCACAGGCAAGAGATGTGACATGTAACCCCATCTTCCATCAGACCAGCCATTGCCTTAACCTGTAGTATTCTAGCAAACAGAATAAAAGCTGCTTGACTTAGTAGGATTGAAAATGTGGTAATAGCAATATGACTTTCACAAGCAGTAAAGCACATCTTCACTGTAAATCAAAAAGCCTATGCAGATGGCAAAGAGGCAGTGAGACTCAGATCTCATCCATGAAATAGCTTACCCAGTTATTAATTACTAAGTTACTGTTTTTCTGACTTGAATTGTAGTTGGTTTTCATATAGGTAACTGGATGGAAAGCATACTTGTGTCACAACTGTAAGCCCACAGAAGCTAAGAGAGGACAAGATTCTTCCTGGCCTGAAAGCAAGCATAAACATCTCAGAAAAGTCTTGTCCATCCATTAAATACGTATATTTACTTCTAGGCAAGCATAATATCATATGTACTAGAATTTCCCTGTCTTGCCTTCAAGGAGAAATCAGTGTGCTAGATATACCAGAACAATAATGTCTAATACTTCGTACACTGGCCCTGAGTAACACTTCAGCACTTCAGAGGAATGCATCCAGGTAACAGCAATATTACAGCAATTCCCATGACTGTTCCTGTGTTCTGTGCTGAAGGTGTCAGGTCTATTCATTTGGCCTCCCTGGTACTGCCAAATTCCCAATGGAACATTACTTAGATGAAAAGAAAACTATTTCAGTAACACTTGGGAAGTTCAAGAGAATTTGGTTTGACATTAACACTAAAGATGACTCAGAAAGACAAGTGTATGTGCATTTCACAGCAGTTTGTGTATGCAGTATCCTAAAGGGCTCAGTAGCTCTGCTGTAAAATGTTTAGGCTTCCACAGTCAGAAAAGGTTGAAAGCAGTATTCTAGATCCCTTCCTTTGTAGAAAATCCTCCAGAAATAAAATCTGTTTAAAACCTAGCCACAGACACCGGTCTCATTCTGTTTTCTTTTTGTCCAGTGTCATTTGGTGCCATGAAAAGCAACATTCAGAAAAGAGAACTGAGCCACTTCTGGAAAAAAAAATAAAGCTTTCTTAGGAAACACCCTTCAAATGGACTCCTAATGCTTTGCAAGTCAGGTAGTGTTAAAGACAGTGAACTAGAAGAAGATACCAAAATTTTGCAACAGGAGCTACACTTCCATCATCAGTGCAGGAAATGCTTTCTCTTGCTATTTGAATTGCAAAGAGAGCTCTTTACCATTACAGAGAACATTTAATCCAGGAGCACTGCTGAGAATTTTAGCCTGGATGGTTAGCAAACACACATGAGCATAGTGTGGTGGGACTTTTCTGCAGGGAAAGAATGCAGGTGGGTGACGTCCCTCTTTGGCATAGACCCCCTTATTTACAGAGAAAGTGTACAAGCTGTTTACAGTAGAAATAATAACTACAGTCAGTTTCCTTACTCGGAAATTTCTGCCTTCCTCTTCTATGCTATCCGTACTGGAGGGTCATTCCCTGCCTTTCGTGTGAAACTCGACAGCTATGCACGGACCTGGGCACATGCAGGGGCAGCGAGTAACCTCGCAGCCCTGAGGTTGCCCCTTCCATAAGCCCCTGCAGGACACAACCGGCACTCACCTGGGAGTGCGTGCAGGGGCTGCGGGCCGCCTGCCCACGTCCCCGGGGGCTGCCCAGCATCCCCAGCGAAGCCGGTGGGCAGCCGGGCTGGGAAAGGCTTAATTTCAGCGGGGTTTCCTCGGGGCGGGTCCGCTGCTATCCCTGTCTCCGGGGCTGCGGCGGGAGCGGCCACCCCCGGGCTCCCCGCTCCGGCGCTGTCCGGTCCCCGGTGCTTAAGTGCCACCACCCCCCGCCCGCCGGAGGACCGCGGTCCCGCAACCCCGGGGCGGAGGAGCCGCCCATCGCCATCTCCCCCGTGTGAGCCGGTGGGATTCGGGGGAGGAAACTTTGCCCCCCCCCCCCCCAGCAGGCGAGGCAGAAAGGGAAGCGCTGCGGGAGCTCGCGCCCCGCGGCTGGCGAGGGGAATTGTAGTGGAAACAGGTTGTTGGGCTCTCGTCGTAGGAGGAAGGGGCGGCTCTGTATTACCAGCTAGCCAAATCTGGGCTCTGGGAAATGGAGACGGAGCTGCTGCTTTTCCAGACAGCGATGTGCTGAGGGAAATGGACAGCGAATTACTACTGCAGGAGAGCTTTGCTCCAAAATCGCCTCTTCCCAGGAAGCTAATACACTCCCTGAGCTCCTGAAGTTCTAGCAGTTGCTAGCTCAGCTTGGGGTTAACCACAGCAAGTTTCTGCTGCAGGAGTCCCGGTTTGCAGGGGTCAGGCAGGTGATTTTTTCCTTCTTTCAATTTTTGCTCCTCTGCTGGTCCGTGAATACTGAATACCGAAAAGTCTGCTCAAAAGCTGGGGAGAGCTCGAGAAGAGCCACGGTGGAGAGTTGTGGTGTTTTGGATATATTTGTCACAAAGTACTGCCACCTCTGCTCGAGAGATTCATATGGCTTGAAGGTAAGACATATGTGTTGATACTTTCCTTCTGGAAATACAAATGTTTTGAACCTCCCGGTAAGGGAACAGAGACAATAGCAGCTGCTGTATTCACCACTGCAGTGTAAATAAGGGCAGCAGAAAAAGAAAATATTTGCCATTATCCCAAATGATCCCTTAAGCTGTTCTGTTCTGAGACAGGGCAGGAGAAAGTGAGTTTTCTAATTAAAAAATGCAGTGTCTTGGTTTTTTTCTTCTAAAACACTACCTACAAACCAATACAAATTTGTTATTAAATGCTAAAGAGACATTTAAAGTTGCTAGGAAGCTAGGATCATTTTTAGAAGTTTGATGCTTAACATTGCTCTCACACAGACACAATGGAAATAGAGTGACAGGGAAAACAGTAGGAGGAGGATGTGTAGATAGGATATAATGTAGGTACATTCAATTTCCCCAAAGAATAAGCTTGTTCAGTCAATTTGTTTGAGAGAAACTACTATTTTTTCTCTGCACTCATTCTTTTACATAAGGCAAAGCCTGTGTCCCTTAAAATTTCCTTCTCAGCACTACTCTTGAACAGGCGTTCCCACTGGGGGCTTGAAGAAGCCCTGGAAAGGAATCATTCAGAAAAACCCCTCTGAACGTTGCAAGTAGCTTTTGTGCAAGGTTTAAAGTAACCTTTGTGGCATGAAGGAAGTCTGTTTCTTGTATTAAGATACAAACAGGTATTTTTCCTGTTTGTACCTTAATATTTTCCCATTGCCCTTCAGTTATAAGTTTCATCTGCCTTTTTGAAATCAAGGGAAACTGGGGATTTAGGGCAGGGGAGCAGACACTAGGATTGTGTTGGGTCCTATTTGGTGCTGAAATTTCTTTCCAAACTTGTTGACTGTAGGTGGTTTCTGTACAGATAACACATCCTCACGTGTTAATTCTCGATTCTCTCTCAGCCTGACTTGCCCACATGCAAAGCATGAAGCTGTAGAGCTAACAGCATGTGGAGAATGAATCACTGTTCTTCAAGTAGAGTTCAAAGTAATAAAAGAAAAATAACTTGGCTGGTTTATAAATAACCAGCCAAAAGATTATACTATAACTAGTCAAATAGGTTACACATGCAATTCACTGCAAAATAGTGTGGGCTATATCTCTTACACATTCAGTGTTTCATGTAATTGTTCTTCTTTAACCACGCAATGGTCTTAAGAACTTATAATCCTGTGCTTAAGTCCATTAACTGCTTGTAGCAGTCTAGAAAAAATAGTCTATTGACAATATTGCTAAGTCCATCAAAGAAGTGTAAAGAGCACTGTCTCCGTAGTTTTTATTACTATTTTTCCTTTCAACTTTGTTTTCATACTACAGAAATTCTGTTACACTAAAAGCCTTTACTCTTTACTTCCCATACTTCTGAACGGAGGTTTTGTAAAAGTACTTTCCACTAATTTATGTACCGTGTGATAATCTTTTGCGTACATAGACACTGTATGGCACGACAGGCAAATTTGATGGAGAGAGAAAGAAAGAGAAGGGCAGACTTCTCCTCATCTGGCCCTTTGAACTGGTAACATCAGGAGGAATAACAGTATCAGCAGAATTACAAAGACGTGTGTTTGGGCTCTGCCTTTTTCCTTAGTATTTCCAATGATAGCTATAGAGCAGTTATCTGACGTTTATTAAGTCAATTGCCTTGCATGGTGTGTCACGTATCACAAAATGCCACCTAAATGTACTTCATGCAGTGCATGTGTACATAAATCCCTGTGTAAAATCTGCCATACATTTACATATAACTTCCATAGGCACACATGAATTGGATTCATGTGTGCAAAAAAGAGCTTCAGTTTGGTATACTAGAATATTTAGAAAGAAAAAGTTCATGTTTCAGCCTTTAGAGAGAAGCAAGTGAACCCTCAGAAGCCAGGCAAACTGAGTTAATAGTATAGGTTATATTGTAGCTAATATCCATCATACCCAGAACCAAATGGCTTCCTTTTCCCTTGATGTTTCCTTCTGTGTCACTTTCACCCTCTGCGTGAGAGGCTAGGTCATAATTTAGATTAGCTAAGTGGTCACATAGCATCCATCATGCTTATCCTAATACTACTCCCACAGCCCAATACCAAGTCATCATGAAGCCCACTGAAGTGAGTAAGTTACATTCACATAAGTCTGCAAAGCAGAAGTGATTTATATATATGCACTCCTCTCACAAAGGAATCACAGCTTGACATCCACTAACTCTGCATGCACTGCTTGTATGCAGGGCAGCAAGCACAAAGATTGCACTTTAATCTTTTCCAGCTTTGCTGAAGTATAAGACACCTGCCTGGGAAAAATACTCAGCTTTTCCTTTAATGGCACTTCAGTGTTGGTTCACTGTATTCTTCCTTGTACTCCCCCAAGTTAGGCGATTACTACTGTAAGCACAGGCTCAGGACATTGGTCAGTTAATAACACAAGTTACAAACGTGATGGGAAATGCAGCTGGCACAGAACAGCAGCATTCTGTAGCTAGGTTGAAAGGTCTGAACAATGGCAGGGACCAGTGAGGATGACTGACTAAGACATGCCCCGCAATGAAGCAGAAAGGCCTAGCACATAAGGTATGATTACCCGTGTGCTCTTCTAAAATCTGTCCTTTGTATTAAATCAGGAAATCTCCACCCTCCCATCCTCTGTTTACTTAAACTTTGGAATTCAAATTTGAGCTTATAATGCTTGTGTTTTGATGCATCTCAAAGTGCCATAGAGAACTGCTTTTGCAGAATGTATGATTACCTGCTGTGCTCATCACTGGATAAAACCCTATAAATCACTAGCCACTGCCATATTTTAAAAGCCCTTGCTGCCAAATGGGTCATTTTAATCCTATTGGCAGATAAGGGTCTGCTCTACGTAACAGACATCGTCCTGTGACTGTAAAAAGCTTGAGGACCAGGTATAAACTGACTTAGCCTTAGGCTTTCTCATTCTTGGCACCCAGGGTATTATATGCAGTTATCTTCTGAAGCTACCTCTGAAACTGCAGGGAATATGTGATAGAAACAAAAATCCATCTGCCTCCAGAAGAAAGCGGAATTTCACATTACGCAGAAAACTTCAGACATTGTTATGTCCAGTGTGTGAAAGAGGATGGGAAATGAACTTCTAAGCCCTATGCTCTATTTCTACAAAGCATTTGCTTGCTGATCTTTAACAGCCTTGTGCCAGACATACCCTTTTCCTCATCAGCAATATTCTTTAACAAATGTTACATAAAAATCTCTCTGACAAAACAAGGAACTTCAAAAAATACTTAGCTTCAAATGCACAAGTATTGGTAGCTCTTCACATATGAACAGGATGGCTTTGGCTCATGAACTTTACAATACTTCCACTATGAGTCTTTTTCAGTTTCACCCTGTGTGCACAAATTTCTTCTGAACACTTAGGAAATCTGGAAATGAGCATCTGCTTTCTCACATGCCCATAGCTGATGTTTAGATTCCAGGAGATACAGGACAGGGAGTGTGTTCACAGAGCAAGTAATTTAGCTGTAAAGCTTTTTGCCACAGGATGCCTGGATGCTAACTGTTCCTAAGCCTTCTTGACCTAGGTTCAAGGGGACACTAAGCAATCTCAGTTCCAAGGAAAAGAAGTCCACTGATCCTTAAGAAATGCACAGAAACCACTCTGGCTCGGTAAATATCTGAGATGCAAAGAGTTGGATGATGTGACAATTCTTGCCAAAACATCCTGTATACTTGCTCCATTCTTACACTCTTGCCCAAGCTTTTGGTTACCATTGGAGAAAAGATATTACACTGGTTGAACTTTGACTTCGCAGGGTTATTTTTTTTAAGGCTACAGGAGAACATACCAGTAGGCTAAATGCTAAAACATATTATGGTTTGGAATACAGGGAGGAAGATTTTGAAATGTTTGTTTGGGATCTAACTTCACTATGTTTTACAAACAAAAACTTTCAGTAGCTACATTTGTTTTGGCTAACTCTTCAGGAGCATGTGAGACCGATCAATTTGTGCCAGGGTGTTGCTAACTAGATTCTTTGGGAAAGGGAGAGGCAATTGTTTAAGTCCTGTCAAAAGCATCATTCCTTCTGCTGTTACAAAACCAACCTATATTCAACCTAAAATGATTGCTAATGAGTATTAACTCCTCTACCAATTGTTCCACTTCAATCATGTTTTCTCTTGCTGTCCTTCATCTGGATATTTTTAGCATTATCATTTTTTTGTAAGATGTGACTATGTGTTCAGTTGCTTCTTCTCTGTACATACCTCCCAATTATCCTGGTGGGTATTTTTCTCTCAACCCCCTAGAACGGGTTTATTTCTGGTTTACTCTTCCCTGTTGGTTTCCATGTGGTTATGTGGGAGGCTGCACATTCTTTATCAAAGCAGAGAGCCATGATTAGTCCATTCAGAAAATGTAAATTCAGCCTTATGTGTTATGTAGCACTGAAGAAAAAGAGAGAGACTGTAAGGAGCAATAAAATCAGTCAATAATAGAACAACGTTAAGCCCTGTAGGTAGGCCTGGATGATCACGATGACGTCCACACTTCAGATTTCTAATGGAGCTAAATAAACATACTGAACCTGTGTATTGCTGTCTGGGGAAAGCTAATCAGAGCGCAATCCAGTCCTGCTGAAGTAAGTGAAATCCACTGCGATTGTGCAGCCTATGCAATTAACATTCATTTTGATTTGTATCACCCTTTCTGTACATGTTCCATTATTTATCCCAAATTTCAGACTCGGTAGCCTCAGCTGTTTCTGTCTGAAATGTCCCAGGAGCTGGAAACACACTCCTTAGTCGATAAATACATGTATTTGACTTTGTTCATTGCTTCAGGTTGCCAACTGCTAACGCTGGGGATGTATCAGCAAAATCAACACTATTGAGAATGCTCTGTGTAATTTGCAGCTTTGTAGAAAAATGAACTCTTCACCAACATCTCAGGTTTTTGAATCATGCTCCCCTGAATGCTGCAGCTGAAGCAATATATCAGAA